TTATTATAGATACGAACATAAGCAGACTTCATATATTAAGATGAATAGAAATAAGATCAAACAGACCTGAAAAGTCTCAAAGGTTACATTTTACTTTTCAGTCAATTAGATGGATGACGAACCTTGTTTGTGTAAATCATTATTAAACAAATTGATATTCAATAGGTGACACAATCCACTTTCGGAAAGATCATCAAGGAGACTTCTGAACCGGGTTGCAGTTTCACTGCGACGGAGGTTCACTGACATACTTTTCCACATGGTTGAGTAACGAATAACGAAAAAATTCTGACGTAAGTTTGTGTGGGTTCTTGGAATCGCTAGAATATTTTCCTTATTGATATGATATCATAGAGTATGAATGGAAGGATACCGAAGAGTAGGAGATACCGTTAATAAACCGGTAGATAAAGACAAGTTTTAATTTGATACGTCTGATCCAAAGAGGTTCTAAGTTGAGTTGTTGATATCTTTGATGATAGTATTTGTTGTCGGAACACCCCAAAAAGCTTTGGTGAGCCTTCTTTGAACACCTTCAATTTTAATGAGGTCACTATGCCTGCAATTAACGTAAACTAGAACACCATATTCAAGAATGGGTAAGATACATTTTCTGTGTAATAACAATCTCGATTCGATATTATTGAAGTTTATCATTATGAATCCGATGAGCTTTCTAGCTTTAAATACTTGAGATTCAATGTGCTCAGAAATTTTCAAACTGTTTCTATATCTTAAACCCAAGTCATGAGCAATGTTAAGAGGTTTCAACGTATGTTTGTGTATAGCTGGCTGTTCGTTGACAGTATACTTGCACCAACTTCAGTATGTCACTAATACATCCACTCTATCCAATGTTCATTTGTTCACCTTAATACATTTTTCATATATTTTTATGCATGCAACCTACTAAGTGACTAGTTATTCTTTAATTAACTTATTAAATGTTTTATGGAGTGTAGGGAAAGGCTCTTTTTTCATTAGTACATTTTACGTATGTCTTTCATCGCGCATAATAGTTTTAACATCTATAAATTAGAAAACAGGAATTTTGCTATGATTTTGTTTTTATGTGTCCCATCAAGTGTCATTTCGGCCGCTAAACCTTTGAATGACTTTTAGACTGTATTGAGCAACTGTTAGCGGAACATAGTTTGGATTAAAGCATGTTCCGTGCAGGATTGCTTTGGTGCACACTGACTGGTTATTTCCTATCCATCAGCGCTGGTGAATACTTGGAGAAGACTCTAGAATCTTCTCATGTGAGAATTATCAATACACTGACATTTTTCTTATTGTGCTTCTTACTTCCATCTACCCTTGCTATTTGGAATATAATTTCTTTCCTGTTCAACTATATTCTGATTTGGAAACTTGTCGACTGAATACTAAGCGATAGGAATAGCTGTAGTTCGTTTACGAATATTTTTTTGTTTAGGCAATTTCATTATCAAAGACTAGTATTTGGACCAAGAATATTCTTTTCGATAAATTCTCCTGAGGTTCTACAATTATATATCTAAATTAATAATCCGAAAAATGGCCGGGTTAAAGGCAAAGTACATCGTTAGAAGCATGTGAATTTAGGATTGTGATAAACAAAATACAATAAAATTGTTAATGTTAATATGATTCATATAGAATGTTAACTTGAATCTGCGTATATGTTAAGTGAGATTTAAGATCCATGATCAGAATAAATATGGGTCAACTAGGGTGAGAGAGAAATAATAGTGCAATTACAATTCGATCAAATAAATAAGACGTAATACAGAGGGATGAATGCGAAGTGAATGAATCGTGTATAGAGGAGATTAATGATGTTTAACTAATAATACGAATATTGATAATAATAACAATAAAAAGATTTATGAATAAAGATAACAGGGACAATTACAATTGACTACGAAAGGTCATATTCAAATTAGGTCATTCAATAGTTAAGATTACGATTGAATAATTGGCCTTGGTGTTGGCCAGGGGAGGAGGAGTGCTTGAATATATTTCTTCTGTACGCACAGCTCCAGTTTCTTCGTCCGGTTGGCTACTGCTTCAGCCGTTTGAAGGACTTTCAGTCTGGCCAGTTTTAGCAAAAAATTACTTACCTTATAAATAACTGAAAAAGATTGGTTTATACTGGCACTATGACCGGTTTGTACTAAATGGACCAATATTGAGCTCTTCACCTTCTTTATCAAACCTTTGTTTAACCACACTGGAAGGTGTTCACGAGCACGAAAATGTAAATTCCTAGAACTTCGACCAATATAACTCGCTCCACAGGAGCAGTTGAACTGATAAATACAAAATGAGGTGGTCATTCTATATGGTTCATCTTTTAGCTTCGATGTAACCATTGGGCGCGTAGAAAATACTAATCGCAGTTCTCCGGGGTTAAGAGACTTTTGTATAGTCCTACGTAATCTCTGAGTTAGTATTTCACTAGCCGCATCCCCTTTGAATTGTAGACGCATGAACAGGGATTTCTTCTTCACTGTTTGTATTTCGCCTTCGTGACCATATATTTAATTATAAACTTTCTAGGGTAGCCGTTTTCCCTGAGAGTATTATGCAAGGTGGTAAGCTCTTGTTCGACTATATCAGCAGAACATATAGTGTGAATACGGTAGCTAAGGTTTTTGATCAAATTTCGTTTGTACTGTAGAGGTACAAAGCTCAGGAAATTCGTATACTGCCCAGTCCAAGTACTTTTTCTGTTTATATTCCTTTTTAACGATCCATCCACTCTCTTAGTCAAGAGAACGTCCAAAAAGGCTATTCAGCCATCATTCTCTTCTTCAGATGTAAACTGAATGGCTGGATGCACTTCATTAAATCGTTTAAGAACCTCTTGCAGTGACGTATTATCTTTACAGAGGATGAACGTGTCATCCATGTATCTACAGTAAAATGTAAAATTTTGAATAATCCTTTTAGTGAACCATTTTCTAGTTTGGCTAGAAAAATATCAGCAAGTATAGGGCCCAGTGGTGAACTTATTGCAACACGATCTGTTAGTCTACATATTTCACCGCTGAACTTGAAATTCACATTCATGATGCGTTTGAGTAATAACTATTTCACGACATTAATAGGGACAGTAGTTTCAATTTCATTTTCAATCAGCTGTTCACCTATATATTCTACAGTCTCTATGAGTGGGAGGTTTGTGAATAGCGATGTTACATCCAATGACATCATCTTTAGTCCCAACGTACTTGCATTTTTTATTTTATCAACAAATTGGAACACATCCTTAACACTATATTTTACAAGCTTTTCGTGTAGAGGTTTCAATACAGTTATAAAACATTTAGCTATAGTATGGTAAGGAAAGCCATACATATCTAAACTGGGTCTTCTTTTAATATTTATTATTAATGGCTTTATTCATTATTATATTTTGGTACAATATAGAAATTCTCAGAACATGTTATTTCAACAAGTTTCTTACACAAAGACAAACAAAGGCAGAGAAGGGTTTAAAAAAATTAAAAAATCTGAAAAACTGTAAACTTTTCAAATTAAAGACCTGTTAAGAATGCAAGTTATTGACTAGGTTAACTCTAACAACCTGTTCCTCACAGAGTATATTTGCTAGGTAAGGTATTATAGAACTTTTATACTTTTGCTTGTGTGCATGGATTTTAATGTAATTACGTCTCGTTCTACCAGAAGATATACAAGGAGAAAGATAAGAGTGAAGGGGATGGTTAGTATCTGATAAAATAACACCTGCCAGGAGTTTGCATGACTTTAGATGTCTATCCACAACCATATAAATTATGACATCGAAAGATTCACCACAAATCTTGCTAACTGCCTTCAGCATTCATTTCTATGGGATGTAAAGAGGACGAGATAGGTGAGATCATCTGCATATTCCACAAAAGTGTTTTCTGTGGAAGATGGCAGATCATGCAGAAAAAAAGAGAAAAGAACAGGTGAAAGAACAGCTCCTTGTGGTACACCTTCATGAGACAGTAGAGACTCTGAACACTTTCCTCCAAATACAGTGTACTGTTCCCTTCCAGAGAGGTAGGAACATAGCCAGTTGGTTATCCAGCTGTTAGTGTAGACGCTGATTAACTTGTTAAGTAAACGTTGTCTTGGTATAGAATCGAAAGCTGAAGTATAGTCTAGAAAAGCGTATCGAACATACTTTTTACCCTTCTCTAAGTTGAACACTATATTGTGATGCAGTACAGCGACAGCATCTGAGGTGCTTCTGTTAATGGGATCCCCGGTTTGTGCACCTTTGGCAACCCATACAATCTCGGCAGTTGGGTTCTCACTGGTTTAATCATTTCACACAAACCCGATGAGATAGCCTATTGGTCTCTGAGCTTCTTCAAAGATCTGGTAAGCTCATTCTCTATCTTATTATTCAAATCCTTCTGGTCAGTTGTTTTTTGAAAATTTGATTTGCCATTTAAGATTGTACTCATTTTTTCAATATAATCACTTTTATTAAAAAGAAGGAAACCTGAACCTTTGTCAGGTTTCGTAATCAGTAACGCCTCATCCTTAAGAAGTAGGTTGATAGCTTCCTTGCGCTTCTTCGTAAGCATGCTTTTGTAACTAAATTTATTGTTCTTATATTGGTAACAGCAGTCTACAAGAGTTGATTTAAAATGTTCTAATTGCTGATCAGAATTCACAACTAAATCACGTGTCTGACTATAAGGATTCTCGAACTGTATATCTGTACCGATATGGTTACAGGTATTACGAGCATCACAAAACTTCAGACCTAGGGATAATACCTCTAGTTTTTCTTTATCTAGTTCGACACTTGAGAAATTATGATCATACCTTTTAGAGTCAGTTGAAAATTTGCTTTCGGCCGTCTGATTTTCCAGACCTCATTTCTAACAAAAAAAGAGTCTGTGTAAGGAGGTTTTGACTATTTTTAAGCAAATAGGTTGTTTCTTATTTATATTGGAACCTAAGTGCACATTTTATTGTGCCGGTATTACAAAAGTCTTGAAAGCCCGCGAATGTCAAACATACGCTTAGGGGATTTCCTCAAAGGTTAGTTATCAGCAACGGTGCTATGTTTCCTAAGTCATTATATGTTATTTTCTCCGCTCCTATCAAAATTGCGTTCCGTTGCAGGCACAAATGGATCCAAGAAAAGACGAAACTGTCGGAAACAAATTGAAGAAGCTATTCAGTACCAGAGACCGTCCTAAAGAAAAGCATAAAGATAAATGTAGTAAAGATTCGAGAAGTAGCGAGTCACCACCATCATCGATAAATATGGGTAGTGTGAGTGACGATGAAGTTGAACGGAGATTTTTGCAAATGTTGGAGGATATGAATTTATCGGAAGATCAAACGATATCTTTAAGAGAAAAACCTATAAAAACGAAGCTCGAAATGCTTGAAACGTATGGAAAAAAGCTTGGATCTTCAAAAAATGCTCCTGATTATTGTGCGAGGTTCTTGTTGGTCCCACAAAACTATTCACCGAAGCAGCTGCTAAACGCTTTGGAAAACCTACGTGTGAACTTATTAAATAATGGTGTAAGTTGGGTTCGGGAATTTAACAATACATCTAACAACGGTCTAAACAATTTACTACACTTTTTGGCCCTTACTCTGACGAACTACTACCCAAGTTGTGCTCTACATTGTTTACGTTGTATCCGTGCTCTTGGGAATTGCGGTTATGGCTTATATGCTTTGGTAGACCATGAAAGTGCAACTACATTTATTGCTAAGTGCCTGGACAGTGATCAGTCACCTCTAGTGGACTGTGCTATAGAGCTCTTATCTAGTATTGCTCTATGTAATGCTAAAGGCTACAAAAACGTTCTGGAAGGGCTAACATTTAGTGCGGAACTTAATGGGACACCAGACGAACGCTTCATGCCTTTAGTTAAAGCCCTAGATTGTCCTGAAGTTGCGCGAGCTTCGTTGCAGTTTATTAATGTTCTTGTAAACCGCAGTTGTCTTGATGAGAATTCTTTTGACATTGACTACAGAGTGCATTTACGGTGTGAGTTTAATAGTTTAGGAATTATTGAAAAGCTTAACAAACTTGAAAATTCATTGGACGCTGACATTCAAAACCACATAACAATCTACCGTTCTAGAGCTGATCAGGACTTGGACGATGTTTTTGAGCGACTAGATTCAGTCAAATGTGATCTAGATGATGCTAACCAGATTTTCCACATTCTTCATCGTACTATTATGGGAAGCAAATCAGAGAAGCACTTCCTGTCAATACTACAGCATTTTCTTTTTATTCGTGATGAGCCTTATAGATTGGCTTACTTTACTCTTCTGGAAGAACTGATTGGTCAAGTTTTAATTCAGAATGATGGTGTCGATCCTGATCCGCACATGAACATTCTGCGCTTGGATGTTGAAAGTACTGTCTCATTATTGGTAGATGCACTAAAGGAAGCTGACGCCTCAACTCGTGTTGAGGAACTTCAAGCTAAGTTAGATGCTGCTCTTCAAGCTAAATTAGAGGCAGAAGCCAAAGTGCAAACATTACAAAGTCATTTAAGTTCGGGAGACAGGTCTACCATCAAGCCTACTTCTGGGCTGGAAGGGACACTTAATTCTGTAGTAGCAACTACTCCTAATATCTTACCTCCACCTTCAAGTGCAAGTATACCACCACCTCCAGGCATTCCTCCACCGCCACCTATGGAAGGTGTTCCTCCCCCTCCTCCTCCTCCTCCGCCACCACCACCTATGGGAGGTATTCCGCCACCTCCACCACCACCCATGGGAGGTGTTCCACCACCGCCACCGGGTTTCCAGTCATCCAAACCTCCTGACGAACTTCCTTTTGGTATGAAACCCAAAAAGAAATACACTTTGGATGTCCCTATGAAAAAGGCCAATTGGGAAAAAATTAAACCCAATATGCTTGATAAAAACTCGGTCTGGGTCCAACTTCATGAGGATGAGCTTGAGTATGGTGATTTGTTAAAAAATCTTAGTGCTCAATTTAGCACAAAGCCAGCTAAGGTGATGGTGTCTGACTCTACATCAGATGGCGCAGCTTCAGCTGGGAATCTACAAGGTATTCAGTCTCGTAAGACGAAAAAGCTAAGATATTTGGACGATAAAGTGGCTCAAAATCTGTCAATTCTTCTGGGTTCACTTAAAGTGCCATATGATGAGCTTCGTCGGCGTATCCTAACTGTCGATGAAAGTTTACTAACTCCAAACATGTTAGAGCAGCTGGTTAAAGCCCTACCAGAACCACAAGTTATTTCAAAGATCAGTTCACTTAAAGATGAATATGAGACACTAGCGGAACCTGAACAATTTGTGTGCAAAGTTGGTGATATTAAGAAACTCATACCAAGACTAAATTCAATCCTATTTAAAATGAGGTTTAATGAGAGACTTAGTGAAGTAAAGCCTGAGATAGTTGATGTAGACGAAGCATTGCAGGAGATACATTCCAGCAAACACTTCAAACGTATATTGGAATTGGTTCTGCTGTTAGGCAATTACATGAACGCAGGTTCCAGAAATGCAGAGGCGATTGGATTTGAAATTAGTTTTCTAACTAAGTTAGAAGCGACAAAGGATATATCCAATTCCCAGACGTTACTTCATTTTTTGATTAACTCTCTTGATCGAAAATTCCCAGAAACTGTTAAGGGGTTTCTGGATGACTTCTCGCATGTTGAACGGGCTTGCCGTGTCTCTGAGGATAGTCTAAAAGCTAACATAGCAGAAATGAAGAAGTCTGTTTCCAATATTGATACGGACCTAAAAACATACAAAGCTCAAGACCCTAATGATAATTATATTTCTATAATGCAGGATTTCCTTGTATTTGCTAAAGAACAGATGTCACAATTAGAAATGATGCACAAACGAATGCAGGATAAATTTTTGACCGTTTCTAAATACTTAGCATTTGACCCCAACAAATACCATATGGAGAATTTATTTTCTGATTTGAAAGACTTCCATGTTTCCTTTAAACGTTCTGCTTCTGACCTGGCCAAAAAGCATGCATTGGAAGAAAAAATGAAAAAGGCACGAGAGGAGCAAGCACGCCGTCAGCGTGAACGTGAGGATAAAGCTATTTTGAATAGTTCAGGACCCAGGGCACCTACAGAGGAAGAGGGAAATGTCATTGACAATTTAATGGAGGCCCTAAAGTCTGGTGCTGCTTTCGCTAATGGAGGTGAAAGGTCAGTCGTCAGGCGTAATCGAAATCGTGTGAGCCCAGCCGCTGCTAGTCTCGCGTCAGTTGCTTCACCATCGGCTATTCGACAGAGGCAGTTAATGCGCGCCAGATCTCGTAATTATGGTGACTTACCTCGTTCAGTTGTCGATGTAGCATGAAGTACCTAACTCCTTTTTACTCCTTTTCAAAGTTTACTTGTAAAGCGCCTTGAACGTCACCTTAAAGAACTTTTCAGAAGTGTTTGATAAATAATTTCTAACTGGTCAGATTCAGACTTGTATCTTTTTCATTTTCTTATTTGTACAGTCTTTTCATAAATTTCATACATAAACTCATGTTAATTTTTTGCGTAATTTTGTACGTTTTCAGTGTTTTGTAGTGTGTAGTTTCCGTTAAGATATATATTATTAATATTAAGTAGTTAATAGTCAAAGCGTGCGTATTGTCTTGTGAAAGGAAACAACCTAAATTATTAGTTCACTTTTTGTAGGTGTATTAAACTAAAACTGGCTGCCAACGGCAGATAGCAAGGAAATTACATTTATAGCAAGTTGCAATTTGTGTCAACAGGATTTAATAACCACTTTCTGTGTACTTCAAGCCTTCTGTTTAAAGTAAGGTGCGATTATGATAAAGCTAAAACATCCAGTATGTTTATTCATCAGAAATATATAGTCAGTTTGCACCATACTTATTTACTTAAACACAAACATCGGTATAAAGGGGTACCAAAATATATATATGTCGCACGAATTTGTAGTCTGGGGTACAATCCGGGTACCTAAACTGAGACGGGTGGTTTCCTTGGGGTGGCCGCTTCCGGACATCTTGTTCCTAAAGCAGTAGATGCGGCTCCATGTTAGGTGGTGGTTAGAAATAGGTCCACACTTCATTTGTCCCCCTCGGGATTCTGGAGGCCCTGTGCACCATTGGTTTGGAATTAGTTTTTCGCCCCCCCAGATGGATCCTCTGTACCCACCGGTCCGGTTTAAGTGCAGGACATTCACTTGCATCGTCTTAGTTCGCAGCAAATTATATTGTGTCATACCTTTGGATCAAGTATGGGGTTTCAGGTTCAGGTGATTGCTATCTTAGACTTGTTTAGCACTCCAGTATATTCATTCTTAAACCGCTTAGGACTTAGTACAAATGATCGCATTACGTAAGTGTCAACTAGTTTCGGAATTCGGCTTGATTCAGAATCTCATTATATATAATTCCCATGTCTAACTTAAAACGAAGTGCATCAAACGCTTGAATGCGACTACATTCGTAGACGGGTTTTGGTATACATATCTAAGGCTGTTCAACACAAGATTCTTTGGGGAAATGATTGTTGTCTGTGCTGATATTTGGTCACATGGATTTTTTTGCGGCACAACAAAGTACAGTAGGCACATTTATCTTTACATCAAACATTTCCGAATGAATAATCTAGGCTTTGTGAAATGTTGTCTCATGGAACCTTGTTTTCTGTTTTGTGTACTATTCTATTCAAGTTGAGTATTAGAAGACGTAGTTATTAGTATAAAGACAAACCTTATAAAACTTATTAACAAATCGACGTGTGTTAAAGTTCTGGTATAATAATTCAACTTGCTCCACACTGGTTGAATCTGTCAACGGAGTGGGATTTTACCATTATTGAAAGGTCAGTTGAATAAAAAAGTTACCGCTACTGTAGGATGAATAATGCTGTATTCAGAGTTCAAGAGTAAAACGATATCACTGGTCGTACTGGTAGTTGATGTACGCTGTTCGACTAGTTTGTGCTGCAGTAGCATTCTCATTCTATGAAGAGTCAGTGGAAATAGATTTGGGCCGGAATATTCATATTCCGTTTTATCCCCAATGGGTTGTTGTTAGCAATGAGTTCGGGTACAAATTTTATCTCGGTCACTTCAGGATATTAACTTACGTTGCAAGAGTCCATTGAGATTATCATTCGTGTGCACCTCCAACAATAATGTGCACCCTTTCAAACTACTCCATTTAATTTCATCATTTTCGCTATCGTTAACCTCGTGATCCCATGTTCATTAAATTCTAGTCTTTAACTATTAATAACTACATGGTTTACTAAATGACATCATTAATTTGGGATAATACTGTAAATTGTTCCTTTCTGTATCAAATAGGATAACATATCCATAGTTAGGTGTTAAAGTACTTAACCCAATTTGCAGTCAATGTGGCGAATAGTGAACAGGTTTCACATCAGCTGACATCAATTGCTATTGATTTTAGCGGGTCTACATCTGCATCCATCTTCGACATTATCTTGGATTATACTAAAAGAAACTATTACGCTTTTTAATCAGTCATAATCTATGGGGAATAGAGGTCAATCCGTGAGAAGTTTTTACATACATACCTTTGACGAAATTCATGTGAAATAGAGATTCCTCGTACTTATCTCCCTAAAGAACACGTATTTAACTTAAATTACAAAAATAATAAGATTTTAATTATTTTTGAGAACCTGTCGAGGTTCATGATGTTTTTTGCACCTATAAAATTCAAGTTGACGCATTTAGACTTAAAATTGAGTAGTCTTATTGCTTTGTTAAATATTTACGAAAGCTCTCATAAGCGTTAAAATATCAGCGTAAACTTGAGATCTATCATTGTTTTGCTTTCTCTATCTTATGAATCTCGATTTATCCTAAAAATCTGACATTGCATGGAAGGCAGTCTTGTGTCGCTTTGCTTCCTCGGGAAATGATCGTAGAATTTAAACGACTCAAGACTACTTATAATAAATTACAGGTATCACTCAATGAGTCCACCGAATCATTGGTGGTTAAATTAGGAATAATTAGATATGGCTGTCAATTTGTAATGATGGACATAACCGAGCCACGTCATTTATGTTGGGATAGTATCCACTCTGATTCGGTCAGTATAGTCGCATAGAAAATGGGGCTGCTATAAAGAGTAACTGTTGCGTCCTCAGGAGATAATTAACAAACTTTGATAGACGAAATAATTTCAGAGATTCACCACTCCCTCCCCATTACTATCAGTCAGTCATAATCACCTTAGGGCTTGGCAAAAGCTTGAATTATCACAAGCTACGGCTAGATAAGATTAACAAGATGAGTAGCAATGGAGTTGAGTTAATGCTTTAGTGATGTTAATAAGTTAATAAACATTGAGAATACGGTGCAAAAAGACCGTTTTGATTAATAGCTGTACAATAGTATTCACAGATATCTTTGCTGATTAGTATACCGTCTAATTCACGAATTGTTTAGTTTTTTTTACAATAAAGTTATCATTCCTAGTAAAATACTCGTTAAATGGTATGTAAAATGATTTGAAATGTCATATTACCAAGTAACCAAGTACACATATTTTACTAAACCACACTTCATAAGGTTAAGTGATGTTTATTTCGAAGTAAGCTGTACATAGTGTGAACCTGTAATCCACTGATCCAAAGTCAGGTGTATGCAGTTACGATCTGGATGTAAGATAAGTAAAGGTAAGTTTCTGGCAAGTTGGGCGACGATATTATCCGGGCGTTCACAATTGACTTTTAACTAGTAAACGAAATAGTCTGTACTGGGGAGATGGTTCATGTTTGAATCTCGTCTTATCTATTTTATTCCGAGTATGTGCGTATTGTTGATGGCTTGCATACAATCAAAGTTTGGCTGAAAGTTGAGTGCTCAAACATCCTTTGTAAATAATTTATGCTGTTTTATTTGGAGACAGTGCTAGTACCTCTCTTTTTAAGAACAAGTGAGTTATATAACTCAGCAAGTACTTAATTTTAAGTGTAGCATGTTGTTTTTTAATTTGTTTCTACTTCCGTAATACACTACAAAATAAGGACTTAGATATCAAATAGTTTCGGGTTCAATCGGGTCGTTGCACGAAAATTTTCGTGGTGGTGTCTCCGGTCGTCAAAATAAGTGACTTGCGTTGTAATTTCTCTAGTTAAATCATTACTAAAAACCCTACAAGTACGCTTTTTTGATAAGTGTCAACAAACACGAAGCTTAATACTATTGCCCTCTCTTTGGTATCATAATATCAGGTGATTGATCTTAATGGTCGAACTGCAATAGCAACCGATCGGTTTCTAATACTACTGAGGGGCATAAATTCGGACATTATCTGCTATTTGGTGACAGGTTTGTATATCAAGCAAATTTGCGAATAGAATACTTTGCTCTTAAAGGAGGATCACCAATAATTGATCATTTTTACTAACATATTTACTTAGACGAACTTTACATTTTTCGATAAATAGCTTGCAAATCCCATCCGAATTCACTGATTCCAAAGCATTCAGATACTGTAAAGTTTGTAAAAGAATTGTAATATTCTTATTTAATCCTTAGCTATAATTATTTCTTTTGATGGCTACCTCTTTTAGTCCCTAAAAATGTGAACACTTTGCACGCATTGTGTATATAGAACGTAATTCCCTATCCTCTGATTTTACGATGTTATTATATTAATGAAATTCTAGTTCTGATGAGTTTAAAAGAAGGGAGCTGTCTTAGAATGAATGGGAAAACTCGATTTATGTATTTTTATTTCACTTCTCAAACAAAAACTGGGTTGAATTCTTTAGGACTTTTGCTTATGATTTGATCACACAAAGGATTTTGTGAAAGTTATCAGCTAAACCATAAGTGATAAACAAAATATGTAAATTAGTTGTAAGCTTTGGATTACGGAGTCCAATGCATTTGTAACCGTCACTATTTTTGTAACCAGCTACTGTATATTTAACAAACACAGAACTCTTAAAATTTGAGACTACTGAAGTGTAAACTGCGGTTCGTGATTCTTCAACATATAACGAATATGTGTATGCATGTACTAAGTGCTATTTGCTTTTATTATCTCTTAGATTTGTTAGAAATATTCAGTAATGAAGTGGTATTCCTGATATTCTAAATATTTTGTTTTAAAATGTTATTGCATTTTCCATCGTTATTTCCAAGTTTCAGTCTACACTTCTATACGTGTTTCTAACCAATGGAAGGAAGTGTATAGGTAGTGTCGTTAACATATTGATGCAAGTTAACTAACTGGACAAGATAAACATGTTATATTATACTTATTTTTATGACTTGATAGTTGTGCGTAAAGATTTCAGAGATTCTCGAGCTTATCATTATTTTGTTTTTATATAAGTTGAATAATTTTTGCGGAATTTGGTAGGTAAGTTTAAATTTAATTGGACTTTACTGATTCGTTATTTCATACTAGGAATTATAACAGATTTTATTCTGAGTTCTGAAAGAAAACTGTCTTCAGGAAACGATACCGTAACAATGTTCATTTATTGTATCGAGGCGGCTTTAAGACTAAAGCGTCCGAATTGCAGCTACTAAGTCCCAGGTTTGACCTCCTCTCCACCTACTTTGTTCTGGGTAACCGGGTAGTATCGTTAGGGCTCACACTTGCAGTATGGCTCATTATCAAGTGCCTTTGGGATTAGTTAGTTTTATCCGAGTGTATTAAAAAGATTGGACTTATAAATAGTTTTTAGGAAAAGATTTATTGTAGAGTGCTCTTTGTCGTAATTATTTATAGCAGCGTTTTTTCGTGTATTATCAATTGGTGTTTAGATGCACTTCATATTTATTGCCTACAAAAATTAACTGTATCTGATATGACCCAGTCTTCTGTTTCTAATTTAATGAACAAATTTTACGAAAGCCTAAAGTCTAACTTCTACTAACGTGTCTGTGTGTTGTTAAAACGTGTTTGAGATGCTTGTGGTGATTTATCTCATTCCATGGTTTTCAGATAATGTTTTGTATCCAAAAGGACCAGGATTAGGTGCAGCTCAGATTTTAAACAATGTAAAATCGACTTTACATTTTGGTACTTTGTCATCGATCGATTCATGGGAATCGAATGCCTACTTACTGTTCATGCCATTAGTTTCTGATAGTCGTCCAGAATTCCGTGGAAACATACTTCGAGATTGTATGCTACATTTACCTATCCCTTTAAAAATGCCATCTACGGTGGCAGTTGGTCTTGATGGTGTAGAAAGTCAACGAAAGGCTGAAGAGCTTTTGGGAAGACTGAATAATGAAACTGAAAGTTATCATACAATAAAGCGTCCTTTCAAGCCATTGTTGTATACGGATTCAAGGTTTGTTAGTTTTTCTTATTCTCTTTCGTATTTTTAAGACTCAATAACTCAGTGATTAAAGTCAATAGACTTATTGTTTATAGTTTCGTGAACTATAAATTGTATTGCTGTTTGTTGTGTATTTATTACCATCAAAGTACAAATTACTTCTTAAAGATTGACTGGAATTTACGCCTACAATTAATTTTGATGGTGAAGTTTTAGAAGTAGTCAAAGCACTGGTTAATAAGTGTACTTAAATGGGTAATAGTAATGATCTGGCAGAAGAGATCATTCTATGTACAGCGAAACTTATAACTGCCTATTGTAAGTCTGAGTCGATTTTCTCGCGATCGTCACGTTAGTTTGTTTATAAAAGGGTCGAGTGCACAACAGTGCCTTAATACCAGTTCTTTTGTTTACTAGTGTGAAATGGATTCTCAAATATGCTTTCATTTAGTCACAGCACTGTGCAGGTAATGCTGAGGGGCAGCTATGTGTTTGTGGACAATTTATATCACTCAACAAGTGGTGGCAACTTGGGAAAGTGGCCTCACCGGTTTAGACATGTTTTGCTCTTGTATACTGATGATTAGTTATTGATGTTGGGGTGAAGTCAGATCAATCATAAACAACGTAGAACCTCCCATAGATGTGCATCGACATTGGAGCTGAAGGTTAAAGACAGAGTTTGTTAGCTTATAAAATGAACTTTTAGATTGAAAAAATAGTTACATCAAGTTAGCTTCTGTTGAATTATCATGATTCTTTCAATGAGGCTGTTAGTGATTGGGCGTTTCAGTGCCGGCAGACGTTATCAATCTATTCAAAACTGAAATCAGTGGATACCCTGGTTGTGTTTTCATTTAAAATATGACCTTCAGTACTTCTTATTCTTATTTTTACTATTTTGTTTCACATTATTGTCATTTCATTTTGTGTGATGGATTTGTCAGTACATATTAGGCTTTGATTTGTTATTTTTTTATTTTCCAAATGATCGTACGAACAATGAACCATTGGAAAATAAAAAAAATATTTGAAAATGTATCTCAGTGGATTTTTAACTCATTTTTTTAATTTTGTATAAATATGATTCAAACAATGCATATAGTCAGTAACCAGAAAAAAAACGATTGATTGGTCTAATTGAATTAGTGGATAATTAATAAAGAATGCCATTTTGCACAAGATAAGGTTTTATATCTTTTCATCGACACCAACATTTAAGCATCTAAGATCGAGGAGAGTACACTGTGTAATAGCTGTATTGCAACATTAATAAATAGAATTTCAACTAATGTATACCAAACACTGGACGAAAATTCACTAGTCACTGTCATTAATTAAATAAATAATATAACAAAGATGGAATATTTTTGATAGTTATTAAGTAACATTTTTATCACTCCATTAAATTTATTTTATTCTTTGATAACTATTTCGTATATTTTATTATAGTGTATTAGTTCGTGTAGGTATTTTGAGAGTTTTAATAGAATTCGTTAAACAATCAATTGTTTATTGGTTGTCAACATTAAGTACTTTGTTATTGATTTTATCTTGACCAATTTACTCCGTATCGTTTGTGACACCTAAATTAAATCTATTTAAATCTTTATATATTTGCCAAAAAAAAACATTCGCATCTCTTTTGCGTTATATTATCAATGAGATATTTTTGAACGTGCAACTAACAGAAACTAATCATTAAGGAAATAAATACATGTTTTGTATAGTTCACCTGCAGTTCTCATTAGTTATTAAAATGATTAGATCCAATGTTTTTGTGATATTGTTTTATGGTCACTTGAAGATGTGACAAATAATTTAACCGCTTAACTTCTTGATCCGTTTTATATTCATTTATAACGTATCTAATGGATTGTAATGTTATCAATTACATTTATAATTAAATTACATAGACGTGTAGAGTAGCTTGTCGCCTAAATTATCTCAATACTTTTCAATTTACTGAAATAGACAAATCAATATATCTTAAAAAATCCGTCTAAAAACACCATATAAAGTATGTCGGTCAACTGTAGAAAAGTTCCCAAATCTTGAAGTTTTCCATAATGGCATCAAATTAATGTGCATGTATGCCACTGCAACAGGTTTAAACTATGTTATTTAATTCACTCATTTTTTATAAAGTCATGATTGGTAAAAATCAACAATTCAATGAGCTATTCATACTGCGAACTTTTCACCTACTTTATTAAATATTAGTTTGTTCAAAAAATTATTTATGAAGTTATTTTCTTGGAGCTTTCAGAATGTTATACATCTATGTTGGAAGTATCAGAAGGGGACAATATTGGATTAAGAAATTAAATGAATCAATAAGGCGCTTGACTACCTATCGATTGCTACAACATACATAATAATTGGATCAGGATTAATATATTCCAGCGATCCTAAGTCGAAATAGAAAACCTAGCATCAATTAAAAAATTGGTATAAACTATCTAGGTGACTAGTTATTATAATCAATATCACTGAGATAATAAAAATCGCTATCGGATGTTGAATATATCATTGTCTCCCGACCGTTGTTGCTACCGTGACGTGGTGGTCGGGCTTGCCTATCGTGATGAAGCAACCGAGCTATACTGGCTGGAACAACCGTTCCTCAAGGTCCTACCATGTCAGACAGGTCGGTTGAAGAGCGGTAAGACTAAAAGCAACAAACCCAAGGTCCGAAGGCGAAGTCGTACTGCTAACTGTACAGAGGTGTGACAGCAGTAAGGTGTTTCCTTCAGACAACCAGCATGACAGCGATGCTGCCTTCCCACAAGGAGGGGTGGGGTTAGAAAAGGTCGACCCTAAAAATGCACACCTCACCTTACCTCACGGATTTCCGTCTCCGGCGGTAAGGCCCTTTTGAAGAACGGAGCTAACACGTCAAAAACCTCCCACGAAAAGGCCGTGCGCGACCGGCCTCAAGCAGTTGTCCCTTGGGCACTGCGGTCACGCTCTCAGGTCACCAAGACCACCTTTAATCTAATTTCCTTTTCAGGTACCTCCAGAACAACCCTTCCACGGTGTGGGCAACCGGGAAGTGATAACCGCCCTCATACCTCTAACAGCACTCAAGACCACTGTATTTATAATCAACCTCCCTCTTCAATTCCTATTATTCCTCCTACATCGACTTTCAACTTTCAACTTTCTCTCTCGGCTTCCACCTCAAGTGTCACCATAGCCAACGATTCTAGTGCGCAAAACACTGTCCCAGGTCTACTGAAACCTCGCTCCAAACTACACATTGGAGCCTTCAACGTACAAACCCTATGTCAAATCGGTCAGCAGGCTTCCTTGGCTAAAACGATGGGCGGAACATTTTAGAGAACAGTTCATCTGGCCTTCAGCTACTCTACAACTACCCTCCATTTCCAGACAATGTGAATGGAACATTGAAGTAGGTCCCCCAACTCTTGCTGAAGTTCAAAAGGCTATAGTTAATCTGAAACGAGGAAGGGCAGCTGGTCCAGATGGATTGGCTCCAGAGGTCTTTAAGGATGGTGGTCCAATTTTAGCGATTAGGTTGACTAATATTTTAGCTAAGATCTGGGAATTAGACTTTATCCCATCTGACTGGTCGCAATCACTTATCGTCCCAATATATAAGAAAGGGTCAAAATCATCCCGTGACAACCACAGAGGGATTAGTTTAACAAACATAGTATCTAAAATACTGGCCTCGATAATTATCAAACGCCTAACTAAGACTCGTGAACTACAAACTCGAGAGAACCAAGCTGGCTTTAGACCTGGTCGTGGCTGCATCGACCACATATTCACCATTCGTCAGGTTCTAGAACACAGGCATACCTATCGGCGTCCGACGATGGTGGTCTTTCTTGACTTAAAAGCAGCATTTGACTCGGTAGACCGCGAGACTCTGTGGCAGTGTCTGTCATTGAAAGGCGTACCTCAGAAGTACATAAACCTTGTGAAGGCTCTTTACTCGAACACTACTAGTCGAGTCAGGGCTTATGGCGAACTGTCATCTACTTTTGCAACTTCAAGTGGTGTCCGTCAAGGCTGTCCACTTTCTCCATTTTTGTTCAACTTCATCATAGACCTATTGATGGAAATAACACTCTCGTCGACTGAATTCTCGGGTATTGATCTCTTCCAGGAGGTCCACTTATCGACTTAGAATACGCTGATGACATAGTCCTGTTTGGTGAAGACGCTGACAAAATGCAGAGTCTTCTGGTAGCACTAAGCAACAATGCCAGAATGTTTGGGATGCGCCTCTCTCCCTTTAAATGCAAGTTGTTGCTTCAGGACTGGTCTGCGTCAACACCTGAACTAAGGATAGGGAGTGAAGTAGTCGAACGCGTTGACAACTTCACTTATCTTGGAAGTCTGATCAGCCCTAATGGGTTGGTGTCTGACGAAATCTCAGCACGGATTCGAAAAGCTCATTTGGCTTTTTTCAACTTACGTCACCTTTGGCGGAAGCGAGATATCCGTCTATCAATAAAAGGACGAGTATACTGTGCGGCAGTTCGTTCTGTTTTAATTTACGGCTGAGAAACATGGCCCTTAAGAGTAGAAGACACCCGTAAGCTACTAGTATTTGACCACAGATGCCTTAGAAATATTGCTGGCATCTGCTGGGATCACCGGGTAAGTAATAGTGAGGTTAGACGCAGGGTATTAGGGAATGATGGTAAATCAGTTGATGAGGTTATGAATCTTCATCGACTGAGATGGTTGGGCCGCGTATTACGTATGCCTGGACACCGATTACCTCGACTTGCAATGCTAACCGGTGTAGGAGATGGTTGGAAGAAAGTTAGGGGCGGCCAAACCACAACGTGGCATCAGTGCTTGAGGTCACTAACTTCTAGTCTTAGCCATGTTGGTAGATGCAGACTACTTGGTTGGGGTCCGCGTGACTATCGTATTCAATGGTTGGAGACTGTGTGTGATATAGCTCAGAGTCGATCACAATGGCGTCGGTGTATACACTTTTTATCTTCGCTCTAAACTATGAGATTAAAATCGCTTCATATCTTTCTTTCTACGAACTAATTCTTTCTTCCTATACTATATCCTTATTGCAACCTTTGACCTAACCACTCCTATGAATCCGGTGTTCATCTTGCTGTGCTAATGAAGTATGGCAACCTGGACCGATGCACATATGTGCCTGGTCCTACGTTGTAGCTGACTGACTGACTGATATCATTGTCTGTTGTCCAATATACACTTGGTGTTTTTTTCTCTAAAATTAATTAATTGTAATTTCATATTGACTATGTGTTTTCAAATAATTTCTGAAGACTGTTACAGTTGGAATCAATGTATGATTGTCTCTAGATTTGTATAAGGTTTGAGCTAGTTAGTGTCAGAATCGTATTATAAATGCCATAATTTGTGAAGGTCAGTTAGTTAACTATGTAACTGATACAATATCTTACTTTTATTGGTAACTTATTGTTAATTAGTCACTGATTGGCATTTAATATAATGTTTCTGACTGATATGTATTTTTATGTGGTGTGTGAAACACCTATCCAATATGTGCATTCGTCCTGTCTTGCAAATGTACGTTTCTTCTGTTGAGGTGTAGCTAATTTAACGTATGATCATATAACATTACATCGAGTTGTCACACTGGTTCAGTAACCCTCTTTGACTATCACAATAGATATTTGTTACGCTATAGACATAATGTCCTTACTCTCTATATCACTACAATTATTTTGAAATGTTATCACCTATTTTATAACCTATATTACGTTTATCATTATTTTACTCTAGTCTTTATTGTACTTCAATGCCGTTCACTGATGCAATGGAACTTGGTAGTCCAGGTGATGGACTTATTATACGCCCATCGAAACTCGGTTTATTCATTTTACATGTAAGTGGAAATTATCCTCCAACGTATAGTCTAAATTCATTGGAACGTTGTCTAGAAACTTTTGATTTGTAAACCAGTTTTATTCAAATGATAATGTTTAATTAGATGTTTGTTTTTGTTTGATTTATAGACTTCTTTAAAACTAAGTATCATGTGACGTAGGTATAGGTTTTACGAACGATCGATAGAACATCTATGACTCTTGTCAAATAATTCACCAAAATTCTGTCGATATGTTACGAGACTATTATATATAGATTGTAAAATAGATGCATCGTATTAGAACATGTATTAAAACATTAACAATTTGTAATTGAACTGTTTTAAAATGAGAATATATCTAAGTTGTAAAATAAAATAACGCAGGTTTTTGTACAGAAATACCTTGTAGTTCAAATAATCACACTTTGTAACCGAAAAAAGTGTTAGGATATTAAAACAGACAAGATGGGTTGTTGAATCGAAAAGGAAAACAAAATATTTTACGACTTGGAGGAACAGTATAGTGAATATAAATTTATGTAACTAAATTTGATTTAGAAAACCACATCACGTTATTTCTTTAACCACTGATTTCTATCATTCCGAAGACAACAGATTTACACTATTTGTGTATTGTAAATCAACCAATCCGATAAGAAATCACTCCTAAAAAGTTTTTGTCAACTCTAGCTGTACGAAGGTTGAACAGAATTGAAACTTTCAAGATGTTACTAATCGTCACTTCAGATATAGTTGTCATGCAATCTAATGGAAGTACTGAAGTTCTTATGGAATACTTTAAAAAACATGGTATGAATGACAGGGACTAAGTTTGATTCTTATGACCAACGAAATACGAGTTTTTAGATTTGTTGTAATCGGTTGAGGGACTGATGTTAGTACCATTTAGCTCCTAGTTAACTACATATTAGTTCGCGAGTTTCGACCTAAGTTTTTCCCGTTATTTCCAGATAGCAATCGTAACTGCCATTGATTTTATCGAATCGCTGTGTTTAAAAGGCTTGAATAATAGGTATTTATAACATCACATCAGTGTCTTTCGCATCCTATTTGGCTTTGCTATTTGCTACTGCTCTTGTTCGTTTTGCAAACTGATGGGAATAGAGACAGTTACCTCAACCACTGTTCCCAATATTTAACCTGTCTGTTTGTGCAAGGTTCATCACCTCTCTAGCTAACTACTTTTTGAATACAGATGAATCTTTTATCTTTCCATCGACAATAAACGTTAGTCCAGTTTCATCTTTGAATTTTCTCCCAAAGGGGATAATGTTTCTGTGAAAGTAGCTACTTTTAATCTTGCTACCTGTCAACCTACTATACTAATTTGTTAAAACTTCAAATAATAAGTCATTCCATCAATAAAAACAATTGGGTTGCTGAGATCGACAGATCTGATCACTATGTTAAGGCAGTGGCTATCAGAATCCAACTCGATAGTTACGTAAGATCAGCAGTATTTGTCTACATAATCCTGGGTGTGGAATAGGTGCTCAGTTGAATAGCTAACAGACTAGAATCCAACTGACTAGTTATAATTAGGAGAGTACGTACATTATACATTCACCTACCTAATGTATCCATATGAAAATTTGTGCAGCAAGTTAAAAGTTAACGACACCACTCATCCCTACTGGTAGAGAGGTAAACATTCATTAAAGTTTTTGATGGAGTCTGCTTCTACCTGAAGTTTGTGCTGATGATGTTGTTATGACTTTAAGTTCGCTAGTTATCACGTGATTCATCCGCCAATCGAAATACGACTTAAACAATCTTCACAGTGTGCTAAACCAATGACTTTCGACCGGTATGAGCAGCCTAGAGTCCTTATTGATCCCTTGCTTGCCTAGCCCGTTCAGTTGAGTCCGGAACACCAATACAGCTTCCATTATGCGAATAATTTATTTCAGACATACTGAGTTTATACATCAACCAAACAGACCGCAAATAGAAAATAACACTCGTACAAAATATAGTCAAAAGTGGTTGTGAGCGCGGGAGACAGCAATTAATGAACTGAGTATAACTTAAGAACAGTAAATCATACAATAATAATCTATAGGTCAAAACGAAGCTTATAATAAGGGGAACGTAGATAAAGTATAATCTAATTGCTGAATGGTTATACCATAAGAATATATAGATAATATTAGTCCATTAATAGGTTTCAGAAGTTACTCGTAATTTAATCTTCGCTAGGATATAACAGATGTCGTTCAGAAGAACGATGAAAGCTCCACGACCAAACCATCCAGCTCAGAAAACAAAACTCCATCAAAATCATCCACCTGAGCTACAAATCTTCACCATCTCAAAATTCATTAAAGTATTTATTTATTAAAACTGTGTTAACTAGGACAATATCTAAGTGAGTATGATGATGAAAGCTAAGAGGAGACTTGATTTTTGCATTTAAAATCTAACCAAGTTTTAGGATAACCGGATTAACATTATTATCTATGAGTTAAGTAATGGAACTTGACCGATAAACATAGTTGACTTGTGCTCTATTCATCAAGTATTTCAGTCGATGTTATTATCATCAACTTATGGGACTAACTGATACTCGCATCTGTGATAAATACTTTATACGGTATTAAACATTTATATTGACAAGAAAAAATTACAAAATATTAACTTAGTTCTTCCATTTTATCACTTACTCTTGTTGCCCATCGTGGAGAAGCATAGGCCGCCCACCAGGATTCTCCATCCAACTCTGTTTTGGGAGGTCCTTTCCAGTTGCTATACGTCCTTTTGATGTTTGCTTCTGATTCCTGAGGTAATGTGTTCCTTGGTCTTCCTCTCTTCCTTTACCCCTCAGGATTCCAAGTTAGCGCTTTCCTTGTGATGCAGTTTGATGATTTCCTCAATGTATGTCCTGTCCACTTCCATCGTCCTTTTCTAATTTCTTCGTCTGGAAGCTGGTTTATTCTCTCCCACAGTCGACTGTTGCTGATGATACCCGGTCAACGGACATTGAGTATTTTGTGTAGACAATTGTTTATAAATACTTTTACCTTTTTGATGATGGTCGTAAAAGTCGAGATGAAGGCCACTTGTTGAGTATACAACGGCGAATAATCTTCGATGTATTACCTTTTTCTCTAGCTTCTTTAATGGCTTCGAATGTGACCGGCAGTCCGGAAACTGAGTATGCCAACACTGTGTGAACTTCGCATGGGAAACAATTAATCTTGAGAGGGCATCTACCTGTCCGAAATCCGTTGTCGGTTGATGCTTTATCTTGAAATCATAACTCAGCAGTGTAATCTTCAAAGTAAGGTTCCCTATACGCACTGTCAAATTCTTTCTTATCATCAAGGAAGTTGATGTATAGTGGTGAGTTCCATTCATTTGATTGCTCAACGATGATCCGTATTGTTTTATGCGTGACTGATCCTTACGGAATCCAGCTTGTTGATCTCGAAGTTGAACGTCTATTGAATCTTCCACTATTTATTTATTTATTTGAACACATAAATATTGGTACAAGAGAGCACCAATATATATGCGCCACACAAAACAATGAGAATTCGAAGAGAAGGAAAAAAAGGTAAGGAGCGTAAAAAAAGAACAATAACGAAGAGGTTGGTGTAAGGTAGTGTAGTAATAATGAGGGGACGGAAAGGTACAATCAGAAGAAATCTTTCAGTTAAGGAAGATACAGCCACTTTTTATGAAGAAAGTAAAAGAAGGTTACAGTAGGATCGCCACTGGCTTCTATTCTGAGCCATATCTGATAACGTCTCTAGCCACTGTGTAGCACCATCTCTCAGGCCCCAACCAAGGAGTCGTGAAGGACCGACAGAAGCCAGTCCTTTGCAGCTTTCTTTCATACCACGACACCATGTCATGCACTGACCACCTCTCCGCTTCTTCCAACCAGTCCCAGAGTCGGCAAATAATGCACGACGTGGAATTCCCTGGGACAGCATTCGTAGAACATGTCCAAGCCACCGAAGTCAGTGTTTCAAGATGGTGACATCTACTGCATTATCGTCTCCGTGTCCGAACACACGATGCCGAACCTCTGCATTACTGATATGGTGTTGCCACTGGATGTCAGCAATCCTTCGGAGACAGCAATGATCGAACACAGAGTCGTCCAACGTCCTCAACTCGGAGAGGCCAGGTTTCACAAGCATAGAGCAAAACTGCTCTCACCGACGCGTTGTAGATCCGACCTTTTACGGCCAGACTAACATCACGAAGGCGCCATAGATGGCCCAGATTGGCATAAGCCGCTCTGGCTTTCACTATTCGTGCATTGATCTCATCACTCACACCCCCACCAACACTTATGCAGCTACCCAGATATACGAACTTCTCGACTACTTCCATCTGCTCACCATTCAGGGTAAGTACATGATTAGAATCCTGCCAGTCTTGTAGAAGTACTTTGTACTTCGAAGGTGCAAAGCACATACCATACCTACGGCGACTGATTGCCAACTGATTAAGTGCGGATTGCATGCCTTGGGCACTATCGCACAGACAATATCATCCGCATACTCAAGGTCGAGAAGTCTTTCTCTAGGTAACAGAACCACACCACCATTACTTACATCCATCAGAGCTGTTTCCAGAATGTCGTCGATGGCAAAGTTGAAGAGGAATGGTGAGATTGAGCAACCCTGTCTAACCACACTGCTCGAATAGAACAATGGACAGAGGTGGTTGTATGCCCTCACTCTGCCTGAGGTGTTTGTATATAGGGCTTTTAGGATGTTAATAAACTTCTCAGGCACATCCTTCTTCAATAGACAATCCCAGAGAACAGTCCTATTCAACGAATCGAAGGCAGCCCTGATGTCAAGAAACACTACGATTGTTGGCCTTTGATAAATATGGCGGTGTTCTAACATTTGGCGGAGGGTGAAGATATGATCAATACATCCTCGACCAGAACGAAACCCATCCTGCTCTTCGCGAGTCAATCTTTCTCGGTTTTGAACAACCTACGAAGTATGACGGAAGCCAATAGCTTGGACGCAATCGGAAGTAGACTTATCCCCCGATAGTTGTTACAGGAACGACGTGAACCCTTTTTAAAGATAGGGACAACT